ATAGCGAATCAACTCTAACACAATACAGTAAACTGTAGAGATTACGGCAGGCAGGGCATGTGGTCCTCATGCATGAGAATAGAATCCCCAGAAAATTACTAAATGCAAGAATGCAGGAAAAAGGCTTGTTGGAGGACCTAAAAAGAGATGGGAAGACAAAGTCAATGAGGATGCCAGGAACTACCTGGGAATGCGTTTGTGGAAAAGAACAGAGGTAAATCAAATGGCATCTGGAGTTTTAATTTAATAATAAGATCAAAATAATAATAATGATCACAAACAGTCAAAAGAAAAGGATGTCTTAAGAAGAACTGTGACACTTTTAAAATAAAAACAAATGTTAAAAAATAGTTTTTTTATTGAAACAATATAAATTATATGAATATAAAGCTGAATTAATGGTGTAATGAAAAGTATGAAATATTTACTTTTTTTGTTTTATATAACCTAATGTCCAATTTATACAGAAAATCATAAATATAATATAATATAAAAAGAAAATAGTCTTTTACAATCTTTAGTTTTCATAATATATAATCAATTTAAAAACATGTAAAATAAATCATATGTTTTCCAAAAAGTAAACAATATATACATTTATTTTCAACAGCTTTACTCAAACCTTAAAGGATATTCTGATGTTTTTGATGTTAATTTCATCCTCTTATTTACACTTGAACAAAATGGTACTATAAAACAATACCAGTGTATACACAGATTCAATAAACAAGTTTTAGTGTGATCCAGTTGACAATAAGGCTAATAACGCAGCTGTGGAGCCAATGGAAAGAGTGTAGTTGACTGCTGGTGTGAATGCTGGAAGCAAATAGAAACTAGCAAGAATAACAATGGCTAAAAATAGGGCATTGTTGTAGAATATGGAGAAAGTGGTAGCCTCGAAGTCAGCTACTTCGTTCTTCTTCCATAAAATCCTCTCATCTTTTTCTTTCTTGCTCATTTTCTTGTCTTCTGCTAGTTTTTTGCTTAAGTCTCTGGTAACAGCTTCCTCCCTCTTCACAGCAATCTTGTGCTTCAATGTGAATTTTGTATTTCTGTACGCCATAGCCAATAAATACGTAGAAATAGCAGTGATAACTGCGAACAAAATCAAGGAGGAATAAATATCAATCATGTGTATTCTCCAGAATAACCATATTGGAACTGCAGACACAATCAAGGCATTTCCATAAAACAAAGCTGAGGATTTTGTCGATACATTACGGCTGAAATCTTGAAGGAGAAGTTCTTCCTCTTTTGTAAAACCTTTATTTTGTGCTTTTGACATTTTTCTTCAAGATTTAATCCACAAGAACACAAATTCACTTGATTTAAAACTACTACACAGTTGATGACTGGGCACAGAATGTGAATGAAATGAAATGTGGTTACCGATTTGACAAGTAACAGATTTTCTCTTAACACAACACATCGTTTTATGTATCAACGTCACAACAACGTGTCCACGTTGCTCGAGGTTACGTTCCGTATTGCAAACAAGTAATCATTATGAAATGGAAGGTAAAAATAATTCATTTCAAATACTGTTATTATAAATATTGTTAAAAATTAAAATATATCATTCAGTCTAGACTTTTGTATTAAAAAATAGCTCTGTTCTGCAGTAATATAGCAAAATATCGCAACTGTATAATATATTGCATAACTTAAGAGAAATATGATGTGATCACATTCATAATAACTGTCTTATATAGAATAAATAACAAATAAAACTATAATAACTACTAATAAAAATAATAATAAAGTCGATTTATATACAGAGAAAGTATGTTAAGACCTAGATTATCCAATTAAAAAGTGATGATTTAATAATGATGCTCACAAAATATTCTTTAAATGGAATCCTATCGCCTTAGAAGGAAAGAAGTCAGGAGTAACATTCTTAGACTTGTAATCTTCTTCTTACAAAGTTTGGCAATCATAACTGCTACTTTTATTTTTGGACTTGCTACTCTAAACAAATCAATCGATCTGCATTAGTATCAATCACGTAGATTCTTCAACCAAGAATTCGGCCTTCGGCCAACAGATCTTCTTCCTTGAATCTGTCAATGTATTATGAGTCTCAAAATTTCATATTTTGGTCCTCTCATCACGTGGCTTAGTTTGTTGGCTCCAGTTTTCTTCTTTGTGTAGTGGTAATTTGCGCTCTTTGATTGTGTTAGTGATCTAGCATTCTTTGCCCATTCTATCACCTCAATATTAGTCACACCTTCCACCCATGAAATTTGTAAGATGCGCCTATAACACTAAATCTCAAAGGCCTTGAGCTTTCCTAAAGAGGCTTCAGAGTACATTTACAAGTCTATTTGATTTCTTGAAGACTCAGGGTTATTTCCATCATCAAATGGCGCTTTCCAAGTGTATAGTCGTCGTTTGGGTAGTTTATACGAGGTGTTTGCAATGATCATATCGTTTTCTTTACAAAATTCATACAATCTCTGTCCTCGATCGTTAGGTTGTCCTAAATCATAAGGACCTACAGTCTGACCTCGTTGACCTTCCCCAATTTTTACATTGAAGTCGCCTTCTTCTTCTTAACATGCCATACACCAAAGTGCGTAGGCGACTATCTCATTACTAGAATTCTGTTCTTGGCGGCGTGACACAGCTCACCTGTATTGTGTATTCCTGTCCATTCTTTAATATTCCTTAACCAGGACAATTGTTTGCGGCCGGCTCCTCTCCTACCTTCGATCTTCCCTTGTAGGATTAACTGTGGTATTTCATATTTTACTCCTCTCAATATGTGCCCAAGGTAACCAATCTTGCGTTTTTTAATTAATTCAAAGAGTTCTCTTTCCACGCCGGCTCTATTAAGGACGTCATCGTTTCGAACTCTATCCACCCAAGGTATGCGCATCATTCTTCTCAATGACCACATTTCAAATGCTTCAAGTTTGTTGATAGATGTTTTTTTCAAAGTCCACGTTTCCATGCCATAAAGCAAGATGGACCATATGTAGCACTTGACCATTCTGTAGCGTATTTCGAAGTTTAGGTTTTGATTACATAGGAGCGGTCTGAATTTCACAAAAGCTTGTCTTGTCATTTGTATTCGGGTTTTTATCTCGTGTTGTGGATCCGATTGGTCATTGATTGTGGTGCCAAGGTATTTAAAAGTTTTCACGCGATTTATACGATTGTCACCTATGCATAATATCGGGTTTTCTGGAGGGTTTCTGCTAATGACCATATATTTCGTTTTCAAAATGTTGATTTTGAGGCCATATTTTTTACCTATGCTATTCACTCTATCAAGTAATAACTGCTGATCTTCCAAATTATCAGATATAATCACTGTGTCGTCCGCATAGCGTAGGTTGCTAATTGGTATGCCGTTCACCTTAATGCCTAATTCCGTATCTTCTAATGCTTCCGCAAATATATTTTCAACATATAAATTAAAAAGCATCGGAGAGAGTATGCAGCCTTGGCGGACACCTTTCCGGATTTCAAATTCATCCGTATATTGGTCTTGATCAATCCTCACCTTTGCCATTTGGTTCCAGTATAGATTCTGAATAATTCTGATCTCCTTCTGGTCAATGTTGGCCCTATGTAGTAGTTCCATCATGATATCATGTTTAACATTGTCAAATGCCTTCTCGTAGTCGATGAAGGTGAGGTAGACATCTTTTCGTTGATCTAAGCAGTTTTGTATTAAGGTGTTCAAACATAAAATTGCCTCTCTTGTTCCTAGTCCTCCCTTAAAACCGAATTGTGTTGACCCGCTAAGTTCTTCTAGTATCTTATACATTCTTGAGTGTAATATCCTAAGGAAGAGTTTCAACAAGTGACTCATTAAACTGATTAAGCGGTGTTCATTGCATTTTGTGGCATTAGCTGTTTTTGGGATCATCACAAAGAATGACTGCAGCCATTCTCGCGGAATGTAACCAGTATCATAAATTCTATTGAACAGCCTTACCAAGATTTCGATATTCTCCTCGTCTAGTAGTTTTATTGCTTCTATATTAATTTCATCTGGACCTGTTGCTTTATGCATCTATGTGAAGTCGCCTATAATGTATAAAATTTCGTGTTTACAAAGTTTCTGTAAGATGTCTTGAATCTGATCACATAACTTCTCGACTTCATCGTCATATTTTCTATCTTCAGTCGGGGCATAGATTTGAAGTATGTTAGTTTTAAATGGTTGAGTATTTATTTGAAGTAATATTATTCTATCCGAGACTGGCACGAAATTGGTCACATATTTACTCAGTTCTGATGTTACTAATATACCTACACCATTTTCGTGATGCGGGTCTTCTGTGCTGTTACCGGAATAATATAATACACTTCCGTTTTTTTACATGATCGTGACTCTAGCCATCTCTTGGCCTCCGCCTTCCATGATTAGTAACGGTTTGCAATTGCAGTGTCAATTCTATGGTGATTTTCCTGAGGGTGCTCTATGAGCCGTTAATGCAGTGGTTCCCCTTTGCCTTCTGCATTCATATACCGTTGACAATTATTTGTTGATTCATCCGCCTTTGGGGCCGATTTCTCAACCCCAGGACAAAAGAATGCCCTACCACTCACCAACTCATTCGCCCTAAGCCATTGGTCAGTAAGTGTGGGATTGCTTATACCGGCAATCACTCGGTAGAAATATTTTGGTACTAAGTGATAAATCGTGACTCCTGAAAAGAGAGTTTCGTTTATTATTTCGCATTATTTTATTTCAGTAGAGTGGTCCTATTGACTGTTTATGTTAGTACCAAGATATGTGTAGCTATTTACCCTGTCAATTGGCTGATGGTTTACCAAAAGATGTGTATTTAATATTTCGCGCTTACTAATTACCATGTACTTTGTTCATAGTACCATAGATCTATAAAATCGTAGGACAGTTATGTTAAATGGTCAGGTATAGGCATCAAACAATTCGCTGTACCGATATATATGCTTATAGCCCGGAATAAAGAACGTTGGAGAAAGATGGAGAGCTAATGTTCAAAGGTGGATGTTTTTGTCTGAGTAGATAGAATATGATGCCAAACAAGATGAGTACTCCAAAATCAAACAGGCAATATATAAAAAAAATATTTTAGAAGATCAGTTTTGTAATACTAATCACCAGAAAGAAGTCTTCCAAGATTTAGAAGAAGAAATGAAGATTAAATGTAAATTAAAAATAGAGTGTTCCTGTTGTAGAACAAAATGAACATTACAGGTATGAGAAGCTTGGAGACTCATTAGATGATAAGAAAGAAAGATTAACTAACTAATAAAAATGAAACTCATTAAGAAGGCTAACTCATAAATTTCAAAATAAATTGTTTAATAATAATTTTTGCCTTCCCGATTAGAAGCAGATAAATGCAATGTCAAAATATAATTTTCAAATAACCAAACAATCTTATTCTGTCACATTGGTAATACATTCTGGCGAAAGCCAGCCTTGTTCAACCCATCGGTAATTATCAATTTTGTAAGTTAGCCGATTGTTAATATTTCTCATAAACAGTTTGTATACTTGACTGATCAATATCTAGGACATCTAGGTATATAATTTTTTAGGTTACATTTGTCCCCTTTTTTGTGTAAGATTACTACTAGACTCCCGTTCCAATCTTTAGAGATTTTGCTATTATGGAGACACCTATTAAATAGCTCTGTTAGTATAGGGATTGTTACTGTCTTGCTTGTTTTTAAGAGCTCGGTAATTATACCGTCGTTTATTATTTTTAGCTTTTTTAAAGCTCTTTCTATTTCGAATCCATCTATATTCGGTAGTACCTCTGATTCCACGTTTTTTTGAGTCTTCAATTTTTCTTATAATTTTGGCGTTAAAATCTCCCATTATTATTATTTTAGATTCTTTGTTGTTGTCTATAGCTTTTTTAAGGTCTTCATAAAAGCCAGTTAAGATTTTCAGTAATATTACTAAGCCATGTGACCCACCAAAAAATATAAACTTATACCTTAAGAAACCAGTGTATAAATCACTTAGGTGATATAGGAACAATAATTTTATGAAAATTACCAGTTCATAAAGAATGGATGTGCTATGTGAGGAGTAAAAAGGTATGGAGTCACAGAAGAAAGCCACATCAACAGTCATCCAGGGCATTCTATTTATCGTTCAGAAGTTATGTATTGTATGGCTTATCTTTCATGGTTGTGGTGCTATCTGGGAACTGAATCTTTCTGCACTTTGCTAGAATGTGAGTACAACTATTCCATCCTGATACTGCATACTGATTCAAATGAAATCCTGGAATTAGTTAATTAATATGAAGTACTGCATACGTGTGTGGTTCTTAGCTT